CGGATGCATGCGACCAAAACCTGCCGGCCCAAGGCAAATCAGCCTGGGTGCTTCGCTGCGCGACAGCATACCCGCTGGGCTGGCCTTCCGGATGCTTGCAACTAAACCTAACGTCCTAAGGCGCCTCAGCCTGGGCGCTTCGCTGCGCGAAAGCATGCCCCCTGGGCTGGCCTTCCGGATAGAATGCAGCTCCACACGGTAGCTCGGCCCTTCGCGAGACCTCCTTCGGATGAACCGCATCGGCCCCCTCCGGGTAACTAGTTGGTCCGCCATTCTGACGTCCTCCTTCGTCTCGCTGTTGAATGATGTCCTCCAAGCCTTCTTGGACTCCGCCGCGCGATTCCTCGCGCTCTGCCATCACTTCGCTGTTACTGGCGACCGATATGCCAGCAACGTCGGATCGCCTTATCTACTTTCCTATTGAGCTGGGTCACGAATACAAAGTAAATCCCTATTTAAACAATTCAAACTCCCCAACAGACGACGTTCTGACTTGCGCTTGCTTGCATGGTTGACTGGCGAACTTGCGTTGTCTGGATTCAGCGCTTTGTTCCCAGCTAAACTTTGTAACGAACTACCGTATCAGTCCCTGTCCTCTGGCCCATTCTGGTCTGCGCCTTCCCGCGCCGCACTTGCCGTACTGCACTACAGGACGAGCACTTAATCAACATGCAATGGTAAAAGATTTCGCAGGGTCTAAACTTGCATAGCGTAGAAGAAAATGGCATGAATGAAGCAGTCGTGAACAGATGCAAAATAGCAAGGGCAATCATCACCCTTTATAACTAAGAAACGAAGAAATTACTGGTTACCCTAAATCTCAAAGAGGAAGTCTTCATCGGGTCATTATTTCCATCGTTTCATTGACTTTGATTATGCTTGTCTCTAGTCGGCCTGGTCCATGTAGGGGTTAGGCTGACTGTTGGGCCTAGGACGGCTTACTTCCACGTACAGGGGTGGATACGCAATCGATCAGACTGGGGCAGTCAGCTTCTTCGAAGCCGAAAAGGGCTCGGCCCCGGTACAGCCAGTTGCCCGCCGTATTCCGCAGGGGAGGCTGTACGGCACTGGGCTGCAAGTGGAGGAACGGCGTCGTGTTAGGATTATACACTCGTGATTATGGATAGCCACGAGGGCCGGGTGCGGCGACCGGCGGCGCTGGAGTGATGTGTATACACTTGCAAAGGTCCCAAAGCAATCCATGGACGGTGCATTGCGCGGCGCCTCCATCTCTATAAGAACGGCTGAGCATCTATAGCCTCCTGGTGGTGCGCGAACCTAGCCCTCTGCCAGTCGAACTGGAGAACAGGACGCTTATGAATTTTGTGTGCGACGGAGCAGAAGGCAAGGAGGCAAGTGCTGGAGCAGTTGGCATGGATGGTCTGCTGGAGTTGCGGAGTGTGGCGGAGCTGGGCCATAAAAAGCTATACCAAGGAAGTCCAAGGAAAGAGCGAGAAAACTGCTGCGGCCGCACAGCAATCAAAACAGCATGAGCAGAAGCAGCATGCGCTGCAGTATACACGTACACCGCACCCCCTGTGGCATAAAATGGTCATCAGTAAGCGACCCGTTAGCTATAACACAACCGGTCGCTTCGGTAGGGTAACCGACATTTCGAGGCAACGACCCGGTAACCGACAGGTAACCTTACCGGTCGGTGACCATACCCTGTTACTGGGTCATTAGCTCGTTATATCGGTTACCCTACCGGCCAGGTCCCGAAACGACCAGTTACCGACTACCGGTTCGGCAGGGTTGCCGAGTGCTGGTGACAAACAAGCAAAAGGATAATCCGAATGATCTCCATGAAGGCACTTAGACTCGTCATTTCACCCCAATGGTCATTTCACCCCAATGGTCATTTCACCCCAATGGTCATTTCACCCCAATGGTCATTTCACCCCAATTTGGCAACCAAAGGGCTCCAGGACCAATATGGCGCTGAGTGAAAGAGGAAAGCTGCCGGAGCGCTGTAGGATGTTGTACACCGCTTCTTAAATCTGGTCCCAAACTGATACATTTTTTTATCTAGTTTTTTCTTTTCGCTTGGCGCGGATGTTGGACAAGTTCGGGGGAACTAACTGAATTCCAACTGCCTATTTTGCCGCCTTTCTGTCAGATCTTTATGGCTCCGACCTCCCAGCCCGACGGCGAGCGGGAAGCTGTCATGGATGCCTACGAGTAAACGTCGCCTCAGGCGGAAGCCGATACGTGCAGAAGTATGGGCGGGGTGATACAACTGGGACGCCGGTCCCCCTGGCTCGCGGAGCCCCGTCATCGATTGGAAGCATGTATGGACCACCAGAGCACCATTCCAGGACTGGCTGTACGACTCATGGGATGGCTGCGTCCCCGCTACTTAAGCGGACAAAACTCTTCCAATCGGTGTCTTCCGACGCCACCATCCAGTTGTGGTCTGGTTAGATATAACATAGGACCAGGCTTTTGGGTCACTCACCCGCAAACGTTCCCAAACAGCTGTGATTCCGCACCAAAAAGCAGCTTTTGGCCAGTCCAAGTCTCTTCAGTCCTTCACGAACTGTGCCAGGAAAAAACCCTCGTATGTGGGTCCCGGAGCAACCCGCACACAGTACGACTCCAGCTGGTTCCGGAGCCCTTCCCTGCTCCAATTCCCCGTCCCCGGCAACCTGCCTCCCCCCAAGCCCCGCCCGAGCTCGAACAGCGCATACGCGCGGGGCGACATTCTCCCGCCACCAGGTCGCCGGCCTGCGGGTGGTGACACCACCTCCTCCGCCTCCACCTCGTCCCACCAGGCCCCGTCTAGCAGTGCGGGGTAGGTACATCCTGGGCGGTGCACCTCCAACGCCTCACGCACAGAGATAACGCTACTGCTGCTTCTGCCGCTACTGCTAATGTCGCTACTGCTACTACTAATGCCCCCACTGCTACTGCTAATACCGCTACTGCTACTGTTAATGTCGCTACTGCTACTCCTAATGCCGCCACTGCTACTGCTACTGTCGCTACTGCTACTGCCGCTACTGGTGGTGGTGGTGACAGCGTCCGCAGTGGCACCGATGTCGGTGTTGTCGTCGGGTACCCTGGCTCCCGTATGCAGCGGTGGCGTTAGGCGCTCCGGAACCATAGAGGTGGGGAGGTGGAGCAACGGTTCCACTAGCCGCAACCCGCCCACGCGGCCGAGCAGCCAGGCCACTACCTGCCGTACGTTTGTGACAGCCAGGATGCGGGAAGGGGGAGGAAGGAGAAGCCGTAGGGGGGTTGGGGGTTGAGGTGAATGGATGGGTGGGGAGCAATGAGCAAGGTAGGGGATGTCAGGGGCGCCAATGGCCGCTTAGGTCCGGAAGGTCTTTAGGGGGCCCCCCCTGGCTAAGATGGAAGGTACAGGATGAAATACGGTAACGGAAATGCCCAATGAAAGGATATCCAAATGAAACAATAAACGATGAAACATTGGACGGGAAATCCCGTCCAGTAGCATCAGTTGATATTACTCGGACATGTCATGACGCTGGAAGGGGCTCTGGGGCCGGGTGCGCGTTCCTGGATATGCGTGTCGCGCTTTGCAGCCGGCTCCTCCCCGCCCTGCCTTCCCCGCGCCTCACCGCCTCATTCTCCCGTGGATCTATCGTACAGGTGCTGTACACCAGGCTGCCGCCGCGCCGTAGCAGCCGCACGCCGCGCAGTAACAGCTGCCGCTGCCGCTCGGGATGGCGTGCGACATGTTGCTCGTCCCACCGGCTGTAGCTGCTGGGCCGCTGCAGCTGCAGCCGACCCAGCCCGCTGCACGGCGCATCCACCAAAATTCTATCGTACACCCCAATCTCCCCTTCATCATCATCCTCCAGCTCGTCTGCCCCTCCGCCACGGCTGCCTCTCCGCCTCACCGTTCGCGATCCCAGTAACGGCAACCCATGCTCGTCCACTCTGAGCCGCGTACCGTCAGCATGTACGGCAACCACGCATCCGCGTCGCCACCAGGGCCGGGTAGCTCCCGCCGCCGCCGCCTCCCGCGCTTCTGAGCTCCGCCGGGCTCCATCACCGTCCCCAACGACACGGGCACAGGAGTCGTTGAGATGGTTGCGTCCATTGCGGAGGTTGAAGTCGTTATGGTGGTTGGGCACTAGCCGCTCCACGTTGAACTGCAGGCGCTGCAGGCGCGGCCAGCTGCGGCAGTTCAGGTCCCCCGGGGGCATCAGGTGGAGGGAAGGAAGGGAAGAAGGTGTCCGGGTCAGGGCACTCGCCTGGGCGCCACCAAGCCGCTATCCAGCTTTCCACCCATGCATGGGCTCGCCTTACTTCCCCCCTCTCGCAGCCCAAATAGATCAATTCATCAACAACACTGATATTGTAATATTGTTATACAAGATGGTTGTTGTGCCATCGCCCGACACTTGCAGCAACCGACATCGGCACCCGCGTTTTTAGTCCAGATCTGGATCCAGGTCCAGATCCAAATCCACACAGAACCCCTAAGACTCATGCATGCATGCGCAGCAGAGGCAGGCAGGAGCACAAGGGCCGTTCCCGGGCGGCCCCCTGCACCCCTGCACCCCCGGACACCCGGGCGCCGAGGCCCCCATGTCGCCCCCCAGCAGCTGGGCCCCCAGGACCTGGAGTCCACCGCCAGCAATGTGCCCCGGTTGCCCAGGAGCTCCGCCAGCAGCGCCGTCTTGCCTCCAGGGGCGGCACACAGGTCCAACACGCGGAGAGGCCTGGCGCCAACAGCACCCGCCACGCCATCGCTGATGCCATCGCTGGAGCCAGAGCGATTCCCATGCTTTGAATCGTCGTGCGGTGTTGGCCACTGCTGCTGTGGTCGCACCATCTGGTGGCGGTGGCGGTGGTGGTTGTAGTGGTTACTATGGTTGGGGTGGTTGGGGTGCGCCATTAGGGCTAGCGCGGGTAGCATGCTGGACAGCCCCATGAAGTACACGGCTCCGGCCTGTGGGGGAAATGGAAAGAGCGGGGAGAAGACGAGCGGGGAAATTAGTACAACTACATATAGCGGCGGATAAGAATATCTGCTGGTGGTGGGTGATGTGTACTCATGTGAACATGGGTGCGGAAGCCGCTACAGGTAACCTATAGTCGGATGATACTTCATAACGTCGCCCACACCACCCGTTGCCATGTACTAGGAATCTTCTTGGATTCTTATCAGTACACCCATCCAATCCAATCCAATCCAACCTACCCATCCACCTACCAACGCACCCGGAGAGGCCGCAGCTCATGAACCTGCTGCGCCACGCGGACAGCAGCCGCGGTGCGGGATGGCAGCAACCGAGCCAAGGGGTGGTAGGGACAGCGCTCCACAGGCGTGTCTGACGGCAGCCCAAACCCGGACAGCAGCTCTCGTACGACGCCGTCGCCGCCGCTGATACCGCCGCCTCCACGGTCGCCGCGGTTGTGCAACCGCAGGGCGTTTAGGCGGAAGGAGGGCTGGCGCGTGGATGCAAAGCCGTCGTGCCAGAAGCGCTCGATGAGGGAGACAGGAAGGAAAGATGCGAGATGACGCCGGATGGCGAGAAGGCGGGCGGGATCGCCGGTGCTGACCTCGGGTTCATCGTGGCCGTGCATTTTAACCCTAAGCAAAGTCACGTAATTTCGATGGATATGTATTGGCTAAGCATTTGTCATGGAAAGACCTAAAAGTTCCATAGCGTGGTGCGATTCCGAAAGTCCAAATTAAAACTGCAAGGTTTCGCAGGGCCGTCGCCACCTGCAATGGACATGCCTTTAATTTATCCTCAGATGGTACAAAGGCAGATTTGCATGCGCCGCTGCACCGGAAAACTAGCTCCTGAAAACGTAGTAATAAATGTCACCAGTCTTCACTTTTGCCGTACAGTGCTGCGTTAGAGGGCTTTCTAAAGGACACCATAGGGATACTTACATGGTGGGACGTTTGCGATTGCCACCTGACAGGCAGAGTAATTTGCCTTAAATTATTTGGTTCACTTGACCATCACATAAGTAACTGCGAGGTATTTTGTGGACTTGTGCACGGACAAATGAAGATCATAAACAAAATCAACCAAAAGCTGAAGGATGGTCAAACGTTCTTCTCGTTTGAGTTCTTTCCGCCGCGCACGGAGGAGGTGGGGCTGGGCGGCGGGACTGGCGTGTCGCAATATCCACCCTTCCGACTTGCAGCGGCCAAGTACCATTTGCTAAATCTATAGCTTCTGATCGCTAGACCTGTGTGGCTACAGTTTCATCTCTAAGCAATGTGTGGAAGCCTAATTCCCCGTGCAAGCTTGGGCATCGGACGGACCGAGACGGACGTAACTGTGCCCTGATCATCCCCTGCAAATGCCTTTTAGGGTGTTGAGAACCTATTCGAGCGGCTGGATCGCATGGTCGCATATGGGCCAATCTTCTGTGACATTACATGGGGCGCTGGCGGTTCGACAGCCGACGTAACCCTTGACATCGCAACCCGCATGCAGAACCAGGTAATACCTCTACCGGCCTTCTCCATCGGCTGAATAACTGAGAGGAACGGTAGGACCAGGGGCAGATCCAGGGGCTCTTGACCTCTGGGTCAGGCCACTGTGTTGTTACCACCCGAGCGCACGGCGCTGCCCTCCTCACAGATACGTTCTCCCTCCCTCCCGCTCTCTCTCTACCCCCAACCACCCTTATGCACCTCATTATCCCACTATGAGATATTTTTCTCCATCGCTTCAACTCTAATATATATTCATGGGGTCGTCGTCTTAATCTTCGCCTTCCTGGACCTGTATTGCTTCCCCTGGTTCATATCCTGTCACACCGCAGCGCGCCCTTCCCCCCCTCGCGCTTACGGCCGCTTCCCTTCGCAACTCCGTCCCCTTAGGTGTGCGTGGAAACCATGATGCACCTGACCTGCACCAACATGCCGGTGGAGAAGCTGGAGAGCGCCCTCCTGGAGGTCAGTGAGGTGGCCACCCGCGTGTCTGAGGCCTCATACATACATACATACATACATACATACATACATACATACATACATACATACATACATACATACATACATACATACATAGATTGTATTATCATACATAGATACGGCCAGTCCGTGTGTGGCGAACACGTGCTTAGGCAGTAGCAGTAGCTGGATGCCGGTCTAGTGACAGCTGCTGCTACTGCTGCCGCTGCTACTGCTGTCCGTGCTGCGCCGGGGTGCCCCGACAGAGCCCGAGACCCCGACCTGCACCCCCACGACCTGACCGCGCTTGAGACGGGGCCAAGAACCCCGCCCAACCTCTAGAAGAGGAGTGTATTTTATTCTATTGTATTGTATCCCTCGCTCACCTTGTCGCCTAATCGCAGTCGTCCGTCGGTTATCCTTTAGGCGACCCTTTCTGTTGACATCTTCGACATCTAATCTACATGAATTTCTCCACTCCCTACCTAACTACCTAACTACCCAACTACCTCGGGGTCTCAGGTCAAGAAGGCTGGCGTCCACAACATCCTGGCGCTCCGAGGCGACCCGCCCAAGGTGAGTAGTACAATTCTGTACGGCTGTAAATGTTCTGTACGGAGGTTGCGGAGCGGCCGACATGCGGCAGCTACTTGGCTGTTGGTTCGGTGATGTGGTGTGCTCCTTTTTCCCGTTCTCTCTCTCTTTCCCCTCTCTCTCTCTCTCATACACACACACGCACACGCACATACGCTACTCACGCAGGCACGCACGCCCGCACATACGTAGATGCAGACATACATACACAAACACACTCGAAAAACGAAACACACTCTTTCACGCAAGACAGTCATCACACCGGGGGTCCTGCTGCACTCGCAGGGCCAGGACAAGTTCGAGGCGGTGGAGGGCGGTTTCAGCTGCGCCCTCGACCTCGTCAAATACATCAGGTGGGTGGCTGGTTGGTTGGGTAAATGTGCCCTAGGATGCAGTACCAGTACGTACCAGACCTGTCAGAATGGGTGTGGGTGTTTGTGAATGTATCCGGTTTGGGTGCATGGTCTGTGTAGGGGGGGGGCGTTAGGAAGAAGCAGCAACCAGCGCACGCACGCACGAGAAGTGGGTGGTGGGTTTTGGCTCCCCGGCTGGCTGGCTGGCGGTAGTGGGAGTTGGCTTAGTGGGTCGTAGCCAAACCGAGCCGAGTAATGGAGGAGCGTTGGCGTGCAGAGAGCTGCAAATAAGTAAAGACATCACAAAACGAAGGCTGATGAAGGCAGGCGATACCGCGGGACCGCCTGTGTCTCCTTCCTCCCCGCAGGAAGGAGTTCGGCGACTTGTTCGGCATCTGCGTGGCGGGCTACCCGGAGGCCCACCCTGACGGCATCGTGGACGACCCGGAGCTGATGGAGCAGAACTACTGGGCCGACATCGCCTACCTGAAGCAGAAGGTTGGCGTTGGGTGGATGAGGCACCGTGTGTGTGTATGTATGTGTGTGTGTGTGTGGAGATTTAAATGTGCAACGGCGGCTGCTTCATAGTCATTTTTTGGGTGCTAAGGGTGTTGGCTTCTGTTCCGCTGTCCTTTTTCCTTGCCGTTCCTGCACGTGTGTGTGAGGGCGTGGCGTGTGTGTTGCAATGTCTGAGCCGCGAGAAGGAAATGGCAACGAGGGGATGCGCTTGTGCATGTTTTCATCTCCTCCTCTCCTCCCCTGCCCTCCCCCCGCAGGTTGAGGCGGGTGGTGAGCTGATCATCACGCAGCTCTTTTATAACACGGACATCTTCCTCAAGTTTGTGGAGGACTGCAGGTGCGTGTATGTGCGTGTATGTCCGTGTATGATGTTGTTACAGGGTGGTATAGCTTCACCAGCGGCCCTCCTTCCCGAGGCAGTTCCCTGCTCTCCCCTGCGAGAGGGGCACCCTAATCCATTCACCCCATCCGACTTCAGAATGTATTCGTTGGGTTCAGCAACTTACCACCAGCATCCAACCAAATCTAGCGGATCAACGGCACCACAACTTAGTTCCTGGCCAGCTCTCAAGTTCATATAATCACGTCCTACACCGTCCACAATATGGGGGGCCACCTCCCATTTCGACACCCCTCACACACCGAGGGGTCGGCAGGCGGATTTGAACCCGGAACCTCCGGGAGCAGAAGTCAGGCCTTAACTTCTGCCAGCCACCTGCCTTCGTGTATGGATGTATGGATGTTTGTTTGTTTGTTTGTTTGTTTGCTAATTTGTGTGCACGCTAATGAGTAGAAGTAGGGGCCCCCGAGGGAGGAAGGGTGGGTGGGTGGAGGTTGGGTGCTTATTGTGTGCGAGAACGCAATGAGTATAATGGTACCGACCGGCCACCTCCCCCTATGCGCCAGCCCCCACCTTCAGGTGGCTCTACGATTCCAATGCCCCACCTTCCATCTAGCCGGTATCGACTTGCGGTGCCAGATGTTCGCATTTCCGTCATCTATATGTTTCTGCCACCTCAATCACGCGAGCTGCACACGTTGCCGCCTCGCCCCTCCTCCCTCTTCCCGTGTTTAGCCCCCCTTTCCCCCCTTTCCCCCCACCCTCCTCCTGCTTCTCCTCGGCTGGTCGGTCAGGTCGGTCGGTATCACGGTGCCCATCCTGCCTGGCATCATGCCCATCATGACCTACGGAGGCTTCAAGCGCATGACGGGATTCTGCAAGACCAAGGTACGTGTGCGTGTGCATGTCCGTGTGCTCGCCGATGTGGTGGGTTGTTCGTTGTGATGTGGTGGGGGGGTGTTGATGGTGGTGGGGGCGCTGCTGTGGGGAGGCTGGAGTTGGATCAGTCGGTCAGGAGGACATTGGATTCAGTATTGCGGATTAAGCATCTACACACTCAGAAGAAGGCGGATGGGGATGGCGGAAAGCGAAATCAGGGTCGGGATTGGGATCCGGTAGGTTGGAAACAATGCGCCCATGGGGAGCAGCAACGCTTTGTGCAGACGGCACCTCTAGTGACTACTGCTGCCCCTTTCTTGCCTGGTAGGACGAGCACTTTGCGGCTTGTCAGCCTCGGCTTGTCCGCCGTCTCGATCTCCCGACGATCGGCTTTGTTGATGTCCCATACGTCCCATGTGCCCTTGCCTGCGTGTGTGCTGTGATGCTGTCTCCCCGTGTCTTCCCCCGCTCGGTACGGCGGCGGCGCAGGTCCCGGCTGACATTCTGGAGGCGGTTGAGGCGATCAAAGACAACGATGAGGCCGTCAAGGTGCGTAGATGCGCGTGCGTGTTTGTTGTCTGTGTGTGCGTGTGTCTGTGTGTGCGTGTCTGTGTGTGTGTGTGTTGATGGGGGGAGAGGGTGGCCCCTTCCTGGGGTCGTTGGGGTTGTTGGGAGGCTAGCCAGCACCTTGGCAATTAGTGGGTGGGTCCCCCTGGTCCCCTGTTGCTCGAGCAGCTCTCGTGAACTCTCGCTGATTCCGCCTATCACTCCAAACACTGCTAGGTAAAGTTATTGTTCGTTATTCGTGTGCGGTACCACCGTCCGATATATCCCGTATATACCACGGCTCCGAAGATCATTAAATCACTCGCAGGTACCCGTCCTGTCCCCCGACCTTCCTCCCGCCTTCTGTGGCTGTTTCCTCTCAACAGTCCGGCACCCCTCCTTTTCTTACTTTGCTACTACTGCTGCTCCTACTGCTGCTACTGCTGCTCCTACTGCTGCTCCTACTGTTGCTGCTACTGCTTCTTCTTCTTCTTCTTCTTCTTCTTCTTCTTCTTCTTCTTCTTACCTTTGTTCCCTTCTTTCGCTACTTTACCCAATGACCCACTTGCCCCCCATTACTCTCCTTCCCGCCTCTTCCCCCCCCCTCCATATCGCCGTCCTCCTCCTCCTTTTGCTTTCCAGAACTTTGGTGTCGACCTGGGTGTGAGGATGTGTCGGCGGCTGCTGGATGCGGGGGTCCCCGGTGTGCACATGTACACACTCAACCTGGAGCGGTCCGCGGTGGGCATCCTGGAGCGACTGGGACTCATAGACACGGCCAGGGTGCCCAAGGTAAACGGGGCGGGTGGGGTGCGGTTGATTGACCTGTGGGTAGACGCAAGTGGGTGGATGGGGGTCTGGTGGTTGCGGGTGGTGTGGCGGAAAGGGTGCGACATTTGGAGTAAATCAGGGGGGGTAGTACATGGGGGACTGTGAGCCATTGGGTGCGAAAATCGCGTTGGGAATGTATCGCGGTCCTGGCCCAGCCCTGGTTGCAAATCACTGGTGAAAACCCGCCACTCAGTTCCCCAGAACGACATCCCGGGTCATTCTCAGCTGTCCGTGAGACGTATTTTTTACTGCTGAACATTTTGTATTTGTATATACGTATATACCATGAGACGTATTTTGTGCTTTAGGGTTTTCCTTTCCTCTCTGTTTAGTCCCCCGTCCCCCGTCCCCCTGTACTTCTGCACCCAACCACTCACCCACCTACCCACGCTCCTCCTCCGCCGCCGCCGCTGCAGCCCCTGCCCTGGCGGCACGTACCTACAGGCACCGCCCGCGCGGCGGAGTCCGTACGGCCCGTGTTCTGGTCCAACCGGACCAAGGCCTACTTGAAGCGCACGCAGGTGCGACTGCGCGGAGTGGGTTCTGCCGCAACCGCCCGCAACCACCCTGTTCCCTCATTTCCTCGCGGCTGGTAATCCCCCGCCCGCTCTCCATGGCGTCCTGGTGGTTCATCCCGAGGGCCACCACGCGTACATGTGTGCAGCGTGTAGCTTCTGTCCTTGATGCATGTCACATCCTCTCCTCCCCCACCCCACTTCATCGAAACACACACATACACTCATATGCACATACATACGCACATACATGGGCACTTACATGGGCGCAGGGCTGGCCGTCGTACCCCACCGGTCGCTGGGCGGACCGCGGCGCCCTTCAGTACGGCAGTCTCGCTGACGTGCCGCAATACATGCGCCGTCACACCAGCACCGACGCTCGCAAGGAGAGGGCTCGGGCGGCGTGGGGCTCCTCCCTGGAGAGCGAGGACGACGTGAAGGCGGTGTTCGCAAAGTGGGTTTCGGAGCGGTTATGAGGGAGGAGGGGCCCGGGTTCGCAGCGGGTAGCGGGAGCTGGAAGGCCGGGAGCTGAGCTGGGGCGTCAAGGGCCTTCCGATAGTCTTACCTATGTTATATAACCTTCTGATATGCAAAGAGTGGTGTGCGGTGTCATTTCAGGTATGGTCATTTATAGATTCACAGGGGTAACCCGCCAGGCAGTGTGTATGGGAAGCCTGCTGGCAGACATGTAGACAGCGACACACAGGGACAGCACCAACTCTTGAGGCCCCCCCATTCCCCTGTTTGCGGGGGAAGCCGGGGGAAGGTTTCTTCTCCTCTCCATCTCCGGGGCCCAGGTCTCCCTGCCCGCGCACACACCCCACCTCACCCCCTTGGCGTTTTGAAGGCTTACAGGCTGCTCACTGCTGGCACATTGATGAGTCGATGAGGTCAATTCGCGTAATGTTGCATTGCTTGATCCTGGGACCCCTCTTGGGACCCCGCCTCGTCCCACACTGCCCCCACCCGCCAGGTACTTTAAGGGCGAGGTGAAGTTGTTCCCGTGGAGTGAGGTGGAGGGGTCGCCGGAGGCTGCTGCAGGGGAGGAGGCCCTCATTGCGTCTGGTACGTGTGGATGCATGGATGCATGGATGCATGGATGCATGGATGGATGGATGGATGCATGGATGGATGGATGGATGGATGCATGGATGCATGGATGCATGGATGGATGGGTGGATGGATGCATGGATGCATGGATGCATGGATGCATGGATGCATGGATGCATGGATGGATGGATGGATGGATGCATGGATGGATGGATGGATGGATGGATGGATGGATGGATGGATGGATGCATGGATGCATGGATGCATGGATGCATGGATGGATGGGTGGATGGATGCATGGATGCATGGATGGATGGATGGATGGATGGATGGATGCATGGATGGATGGATGGATGGATGGATGGATGGATGGATGGCCACCTGCTAATCCACTTAACACCGAACAGCTCTTCATCTTGCCTGCATTTCCCCGTCTCGACACGCTGCACCCTGCTGCCCTCCCTTTGACCTATTGTTGCCTATTTTGGCACCCTGGTGTCTATGGACTGCTTGTCCCCCAGGCTACCTGGTCATCAACAGTCAGCCCAAGCTCAACGGGGTCCCCAGCACCGACTCGGCACACGGCTGGGGAGCACCCGGCGGGTGAGCAGCAGGGTGGCAACGAGGCCCTGGGAGTGTGGGCCCGAGGGGGGAGGTGGAGGGGGGAGGGGGGAGGGGGGAAGCCTGAAGCACACCGACGTACATGCGTGGGGGCACAGGCATGTCTCACGGGTCAGGCATGTCGACGGTAATGGAAAACGGGCTGAGGAAGCGCCGCCGGGTTGAGAGAGAGAGAGAGAGAGAGAGAGAGAGAGGGGGGGAGGGAGGGAGGGCAATGCACTCAACAGAAAGCTCATCTCTTCCACTCTTCCTCGTCTCAGCTCTCCTCCATTAGTGGGAGGAATCCCCCAGCTGACAGTCACTGGCTGGCTCGCTCCCTGGTCTGTGGATATTTGGACGCCTACCGCACCCACCGCAACAACCTCACCAACTGCCCCGCCACGCAGTACACTGTACGGCAGGGCCTATCTGGAGTTCTTCTGCTCACCGGCGGCATGGGAGTCCTTGCGCGCACGGCTCGACGCGGCGCCTTCGGTGTCGTACCTGGCCGCGACGGCGGCGGGCAGCCCCCAGGGCAACCTCAAGCCTGACGACGTGGTGGCGCTCAGCTGGGGCGCCTTCCCGGGTAAGCCCGTGTCGTACACATTTTTTACCGACGCCGTACCCTCGCCGTACACTGGATTGTTGCGTCCGTCGGTTATTCAGCCGCGCTCTGTCGATATTTAATAAACAGGGATGCACTACGTATTTTCAATCGCTTGGGCCTTCGCTGGTCTGAGATTGCCACTCAACGCTATTTTCCGCCGGTTAAAAAACGCTCTACTATCTTAGCCGGCGATCTCCAAAACCTCCTGACGCCTCCTTTCCCCCGCGTCCCCTCCCTTCCTGCCTACCCCAACCCCCATCCCCCGCTCAGGCAAGGAGATTGTTCAGCCCACGGTTCTGTGCGCCTCCAGCTTTGGCGTGTGGAAGGACGAGGCGTTTGAGCTGTGGCTGTCCGAGTGGGCCGGGCTGTACGAGGAGGGCAGCCCCTCTCGCCAATTGCTGACCGGAATCCACGACAACTGGGTGCTGGTGTGCGCGGTGGATAACGATTACGTGGCTGGGGACCTGGCCAAGGTGCTGCTGGGCTGAGAGGCAGAGGGGGGCGGGGGGGAGATCGTGAAGTCAGTCTGGGAAGGAAAGCCGGAGTGAATGCCTTGCTGGTATGATGGCGGGGGCGTGATGATCGTGTGCGCGTGTGTATGTGTTTATTATGTATGGACGTGTGGGTGTGTGGGTGTGGGTGTGCCTGCGCTACTTTGTCCGGTTGAAAGGACAGACGGTGTATGTCTTAATTAGGCTTCAGGCTCGCTTACCAATTGGAAGGTAGAGTGAAGGCACGTGAGTGAGAGTGTGCTGCGAGGGAGTGAGTGTACTGCGCTTGCTGGTGAGGGGGGGGGACGGGGTCGGAATGGAGTGCACACATCGCCGACTGAGGGGAAGGTGTGGGCTAAAGCTGTGTGCTGCCGTTTAGCTTCTTTTGGCTGCTGGATGGCGCCCTGCTGGGCTCAGATCTCAACAAGTGAGACGGTCCAATGGCCTGGGGGGCTGACCGTAGCGCTGCGAGGGAGTGCTGCGGGTGTGCTACATGACTGCCTGTGTCCCCTCCCGCTGAGCTCTCACCATGTGCCGCACAGCGCTGCTGAACGCGCAGCGGTGCAGCGCGTGTAGGTGTGATGCAGATTGGCCTGCAGGGGGGTGGGTGGGTGGACGGTGCGTCGTGTCATGATGTGATGCGATGTGTAGAAGCTGACTCCACGAGAGTATCTATTTGTGTTCTGCAGGTTTTGGATATCTAACGGAAACCCAACCGCTGCCTTACCAGCCCTTTACCAGCTCTCCCCTTGTGGCCTCGCATGCTCATGTGTGGTTTCCTCTTCTATCTCGGCTTGACTGTGCTTAGCCAGGGGTCGCTGACACGGGACTCAACATCTCCGTTGTTGACACACCAGAGGCACCTCCCTTATAGTGTGTCGGGTGTGGGTGCCGCAAGTTCAAGGAGGGGTTCGTGAGGGCATCCCGAGTAGCAGTCTGATCTAGAGCTCGCTTCTGTCCCACCTCTCGCTGGCTCCTCTCGACAGCGAAGCCAAGGCATGGAGGCAGCGTAAGGCAGCTTAAGGATGTAGCACCAGAATGAAATGGCACCCACAGGGGCTGTAATGATGGCAGTTGGGGTTTGCCAGTGGAGCTAATCACCCAAGCGGCTAAAAGCGGCTACCGTTGTTCAGCAGGAAAGTGGAGCATTGGTGGGACTGCCCGTAGGGCGGGTAGGGCCGGGTGTCGAGGTGCCGAGATGCGTGGGCGGACTGGTAAACTCTTACGACAAAAGGTTCAAGGCAGTCCTGAGATGCCCTTGGTTCGACAAGAACGGGGTTCTACACATAAGGGACTACTCTTCATCGTTTCCGCTACGAGCAACAGGAGCAGGGTAATATACGGCAGTACAGCTTTGTGATGTAGCCTGGTGTACGAAGCATCCCATCGTGACACATCATGATAAACCAAAGAGAACCAAAGTTACTTAAACCATTTCCATTTGCCTGTTTCAATAATACAGCTTTGTATTAGGTTATACTTGTATCAGGTTTACACATGAAGTGAAATTTCTTTCTCTATGCCAAACCCGGTGACGGCCTGCACATACCGGTACTGCTAGGACAGCACTGCAAACTCCCACCGAGCAACCCCGCATTGAGCCTTTAGGGCACGATAGCTCATTAACGCGGCCGTGCCTATCTCCCGTTCACCTCCGCACACTAAGTCCGACCGCTTCGCCTGTCGCGACATTTGCCATTTGCCATGGCCGAGGCGGAACATGTCACCATCCACTCCGAGACGCTCGACTTCAATGCGGACTGTGCAGAATTCTGCCCACTGCCGGGATTCACGCACTTGCTGGCCCTGGGCACCTACCAGTTGCTTGAGGAAAAGCAGGAGCGTGTGGGCAGGTGCTACCTGCGCACACTGCACCGGGGCAGCGGTGTGGGCGGCGAGCCTTCAGGCGGCACACACGCGGCCAGCTTGGATATGCCAGGCATCTTTGATCTGAAGTGGCGACCCACAGCATATAGCGGACAGGGAGCGGTGCTCGGCGCTGCGCTTGCGGATGGCACTGTGCGGTGCTTGGAAGCTGTTGCGGTGAGAGGGCTTTGGAGGAGTGTGGAGTGCACTGAAGGGCTGGAGAGCCGTGTTCTTCCGACCGGTGAATCCTGTAGGCTTCGGACGACATGCCAGCGGAGAAGGCGCAGGCGCAGCTGAGGCAGCGGAGTGAAGTGGCTGCTTGCAGTAGCGGCATGTGCTTGTCGTTGGACTGGCAAGTGGCCGCTGGCAGCGAACAAGCGCGAATTGCGGTATCAAATTCCACGGGAACATTATCTCTTATCCAGGTAACTGACTTGATGTTCTAATTGTCCTTGAATGGCTATCGCACAAAGGTCAGCAATTTCGCAGGAGACGAGTTCAGAGCTGGTGCTCCTGTCTGAGTGGGAAGCACATACGTTGGAGGCATGGTGCACTGCATTTCATAAAGCCGAGGTGAGGCCTCCCATCGGGCATATATTTCGGACCTTCGGTATGCCATGACATTTCACGGAAACCAGCAGACTCACAGCGGCTTTGAACCGCTGCAGGAGAATATTATTTTTTCAGGAGCAGACGATTGCTACTTTAAGGCTTACGATATTAGGAGCGACCCCTCAGCGCCGGTCTTTGCCGACCGTCGCACGCACAAGGCCGGCATCTGCACAGTGTCCCCCCACCCCACGCAACGGCACGTCGTCGCCACCGGCAGCTATGACGAGTACGTGCGTCTGTGGGACATGCGAAACACCTCCAAGCCCTTTATCCTGTCACAGGTAACTCACCGGCGTTTTCGGGGCGAACTGCAAGGGCGTACTTTCTTGTTCGGCACACCGACGTGCGAAGGTCTCTCTGAGCCACGCGATACTGTGCAGTCCATTGCGGCCTGACCCCATGCCTCTGCCGTGAACCCCGCCTGCCATGTGTTGAGTCTCCCCCAATCCCTGAACCTTTAAGCACCCTTCCTGCCCCCCATATAAGCGTTCGCGCCTCGTCGGGGTTCATCTCCATCTTTACCATATCTATCAATCCCTTCCCTCGCCAATTGCCTTGCGCAGCTCAACACCAGCGGCGGCAACTGGAGGTTAAGGTGGCACCCACACGACCCGCAACTCCTGTTGGCGGCCTGCATGTGAGGGTGGGGGAAGAGGGCGCGATCAGCGTGCCTCTCACCGCGTGGAAATGACGGAAATAGAGAAGAACAGCGAGAAGAACCAGGGCATGCTGCTTTGCCATACCCACAGGCATATGAACGTTACCTTTCCAGTTAGGTCAGAGCGCTCAAGAGGACGCTCACAGCCCAAGAGAAAGCCGCAGAGGTACACATCCATCAATCTGCATCGCAGCGCGGAGACGCATTATGATGCGACTGGCGCACTAGTGGCCAGGCCGGCGCACATGTCATACACTCACCATACGCTGCCGCTCCCGCCCTCCGGCGATGAGAACGGAGTCATTCTGAAAGCTTTAATGTTTGAATTTATATATCGCACGTGCAACAGGTACAACGGATTTGGCGTGTTACGTGCCGCCGGGGATTTCCGGGACCTTTCCGTGGTGGCCATGTACCAGAGCCCCAACAAGTACATCGCATACGGAGCAGACTGGTGGCAGGAGGGACCGTGCAGGACCGCGGACGCGAGCGACACGGGGGGCAGCAAGGGCCGCGCGGACAAGGGCCGGGCCCTGGCAGCCACGTGTTCCTTCTATGATAGGCTGCATACGTTGGTCTGGCTGCGGACGGAGTAGGAAGGAAGCTGGCATGGGTGGAAGGTTTTGTTGGGACCTAGCACCAGGGGAAAGTGACTCAGATGGACGGGGAGGCAGGGGGTGGATGTGTGGCGTGTGTAAATGTGAAAGGGTTCTTAGGGCGCGTCGTTTCGCGCGCCCTTGGCTTGGGGACGTCGGGAAAGGCAGGGAAATGGAGATTCTCCGGTGTGATGCTGCGTACTTTGGACTAAGTTGTGCCTTATAGAGATGAGATGGGTTTTAAGGCCGCGGATTGTCACGGAAATCTCTCGGATCACATGGCTTGCGCCTGAGGTGCCGCGGCCTTAGACCCTAGCCCTGCAGTTAAGAGGCCTTTAGCTCTTAGCTAGATAAGAGATACCCGGCCAAATGCGATGATATGTACTCCTAAACATTTTGTACCCCTGTGCAATCTTCCATTTTGGTTAAGCAGCCCCTCGCAGAAATGTGAGCCGTCGTACTCTGCCGAATAAACAGACCGTACAAAATGGCCCAAAGACAGTCCCGAATTTTAACGCGCGGATGCGCGCGTGCGATTCGCAAAATGCGCGTGTACAAGTGTATATAAATTTTCTTAGAAGAAAGGCCGCGGTGCGACAGCGCGTTGCGCAGGTGGGCATGTTGGCCACAGGCGCACGCGGCATGCAGGCTGGACTATTGCGTGGCTGCTTTGCAGTAATTGAAATCACAGAAAGCAAACAACGTAGCTTGCAAGACTGGGCGCTTGAAACGACCGCGGGAAGAGGAAGCGTTTGGCGAAGCGGCAGTTTGCGCAAGCAAACGGGCGCGGATTCGGTAGTGCAACGTATACAGCACCTTTTTCAGAGTAAAGTCAAATTACAAAGTTGCGCAAAGTATAACATACATAAACTTAATTAAACATAAGAACAGATAAGACGTTTAGAGCCTTGTCGGTGACATGGACGCCGCTGTTGGCTTGGAACAGCTATTTGCTGTGCATAGGGACGTGCCCGCGTTAGCCGTGTTGCAACAGCTCAGGATGGATTTCAGCCAGCAACAGCCTCAAGAGCTGCTGCACAACCACCGGGAATGTCTTCAGTTGGGCACGTGTAGTTTTGGTCGGCGGGGTCGAGCAACGTACGCAATGCGCACAGAA